TAAAACTGGCTCTCTCTCTCGGAGACTTAATAACATATAAGGATTTCTCGAAGACATAAATTCTTTGAATGTATCGAAAGTTTTTCTTTGGATAAATCGAGAAAAAAAAAATTAATTTTAGATTTAAATAAAACAGAAAAGTTTCATAATTAGACGAGTATTAATTGTGCAAAAATTAGATTTTTTTTTTTTATTGTTAAAATACGTATTTTGAATTGTTTTTAAAAACCACATATTTTGAATAGTGTATAAAATAAATAGCATGTTTCCTACTTAAATCAGAATTATAAAAGGATTCGCAAGAATTTATAAATAATGACAGTTACATAAGAATATATATTACATACAATAAAGACAATTTAAAAAAAGACAATCTTTTTTCTAGAAAAAAAAAAATGTCTTTATTCGCCGATAAAGGGTTGCTTTTTTATGAATGTCGTTTTTTTTGTTTGTTTTTTTATCTATTTTGAATAAGTAAACAGCCTACCGAATGTACGTACTTTATGGACCTTTAGTAAACAGCCTAATAGATTTAATTTAATAAATATTTTTTTTCTAACAAAACATTTAATATTAGTTTCTTAATGAGAGGTGTCACGATAGAGTAGAGAGGGTAGACAATGCTTTGAGGGCCACTGAATCTATAACAGGATTTTCGGGCTATCAAACTGCGGTAAATGGAGTGACAATTGCGGTGCGGCGATTGATAATAGATGCGGTAATTTGAGCCTGTGAACCAAAATACCCAAAAAAAAGTCACCCCATTCCTCACCATTCTTTAAATACGAGGACAATAATCAATTATTTTTTTACTATCTTCTACTTAAAACATCGAAAGATTTTAAATTTCATCGAACAGCCATTTAGTATTCTAAACTTTTGACCACTCGATGTAATTAAGGCAATTTTATAGCGTATAATTTTGTACGTCTTTAAAAGTCTTATTTACGATGTCTTTAAGACGTCTTTTTTCAATCGGTTATGCGAATCTAAAAGACATATTTTTTCGACATCGAAAAGACGTCTTTTTTTATCTTAATCTTGTCATGAAAAGATATAAAAATTGCGTCTTTAAGACGCCGTTTTTTAGTCGAATATCCAAATCTAAAAGACATCTTTTTTCGACATCGAAAAGGCGTCTTTTTTGTCTTTATCTTGTCATAAAAAGAGATTAAAAATGCGTCTTTAAGACGTTTTTGTTTATCAATTATGCACTTCTAAAAAAGTGTTTTTTGCTCGGGGTCGGAACGACTTATTTTTCCTACTTATTAGTATATTATAGTATCCTATACACTATAGTATTCCTTTTTTTCATATATGAAAAGCTGTTTTTATTAAATGATAATAGCTCTTCATACAAAGTATGACAAAAAGCTCTTTCCGATGCCGAGAAAAACTTCTTTTAGATGTCAATATAAAAGAGGATGCATTTTCTACATCTTTTATATGTTTAAACATAGGAGAATAATTTATAAATAAAACAACAGTATTGTTAAACAGAATATTTTTTCATCTTTCGCTTTCTTTTCTGTTTCTTGAGTGAGCTCTGTTTCTTGGAGTTGTTGAATAAAATTAACTATTTCACGTCGAGAAATCCTTTCATACGAGCTGGTTACGACTTCTAGCTGGTTACGACATCTAAATAACGAGTGAACATAAAAAACAGTCAATTTCTTGAATGTAATACAAAAAAGCAAATGAAACTTGATTAACAGAGTGGAACACATTAGACTTACCGACTATTAATTCAAAAAGGGCTGATTCTTTTAACCCCCTCATGTTTTCAACGCAGTCCTTTCTTTTTGAACCAACTTGGTAGGATTGGGACAGGAGTCAAACGGTAAACAGTCTAAAAATAAATAAAAATGAGTGTGCCAAAGAAATTTACGACCATCAAAATGACTATACAACGATGTATTTTATTTGGTAGTACTTAAATCAAACTAAACATTTGCACCTCTCAGATTTGCTATGAAAGCCAAGTTATTGAAGACAGATACTGATATTTTTCTGTCTTCTATGACATGACTTTTTAATTGAATTTCCCTGAAATTAAGTGTTGTAGATTCATAACAATTTAAAAATCCGTTGATTGACTAAAGACTATCAAAACAAAATTGACTAAAGACTATCAAAACAAAAAGATAATTCAGCTAATACACCTTGAGAGTTGTTATTCATTTAAACTAGATAAAAGTATTAATCAAAGCTCTATTTTAACCTGAAAGATAATGATGCTTTACCTAACAACATAAAATCATAAAAACTGGCGATATCATTAGCAACACAGATGAAATACACATAAACAAAAATGAAGACTAGAAAGCTGCAATGATGTTTAGATTTAGGAAAGTGTACCTTTCCAGTATCATTTTCACTTGGTCTTTTGTATTCATACCAAAATTTTTGAAAAGAGTTCTAAAGATAAATCTGTTGTCATTATATACAATTTTTTACTTGGTTGTTAATGACAGACAACAGTTAACAAGGAAATAACAACTTTTCAGATCACTTTAAAAATTATTCAGATCACTTTAAAATGTGTAAAAAAAAAACTGCAAGCCTACTAAATGCTTCCTCTTTTCTAGCTAAACAGCTGCAACTATATATTTATTTTAGTATATATATATATATATATATATATATATATATATATATATATATATATATATATATATATATATATATATATATATATATATATATATATATATATATATATATATATAATATACTAAAATTATATATATATATATATATATATATATATATATACTAAAATTATATATATATATATATATATATATATATATATATATATATATATATATATATATATATATATATATATATAAAACAACCAATTGACGTCTTTTTGACCTCTTTTTTGAAGACGTCTTTTTAAAAGACGTTTTTCCATGTCTTTATTTAGGCTGATTACAAAAAGACATAACAAGTCATAAAAAAGACGCCTTTTATTCGACTAAAGATGTCTTTTTTCCCACTGGGAGTATTCAAAATTGCCATCATATAAAGTTTATGACTTCCTAAAATCATATTGACTTTTAACAAGGAAAATAGAGAAGAGGCAATTGAACAAGATTATAAAAAAAGTTTATACGATTACTACATTTCTAGATACTCCTCAAACTATATTATAAGTTTGCGATCCAAGCATAATGTCCTTATTTGCGATCCAAGCGTTATGTCCTTATTTGCGATCAAAACATAATGTCCTTATTTGCGATCCAAACATAATGCCCTTATTTGAAACAAGATATCATAAAGTTAGAAAAGAATAAAAATAAAAAAAAAACTGCAAAAATAGTGCTAACCTTTAAGTGACTTAAAATTAATAATTTTTTTTGGTCAAAAGTTAACAAAGGCATGCTGTAAGAGTTATGCTAGATACAATTTTTTCCTAAATAGAGTTGTAGATATTTGAAATGTTTTACCACCTCATATTATTAAGTCGATCAATTTAAAAAGAAACTTGATAAATCAGACTATTGCTAATATTATATATTATTATAACATTGTTGCTAATATTATCTATTATTATATCATTATTGCTAATATTATCTATTATTATAACATTATTGCTAATATTATCTATTATTATAACATTATTGCTAATATTATCTATTATTATAACATTATTGCTAATATTATCTATTATTACAACATTATTGCTAATATTATCTATTATTATAACATTATTGCTAATATTATCTATTATTATAACATTAAATTAAATAAGTTTTACAGCATCTTCAGTTATTGTGCTCTGCAATCGATTTTTTTAGTCAATTGTCACAGCTTACCTTATTATTATTCTTATTATTATTGCTATTGTTGCTTTTGTTATTATTATTATTGGTGTTATTATTATTGTTATTAGAAATCTTTCAAAAAATAGATGATTTGTTTGACGCACAGCATTATTTTGACGTAAAGTATACTTTTGACGTATTATTAATTAGCATTATAACTTAGATAATTTATTTATTGTTTCATTTCCCTGATCAACTGGTTTCACAACAATTTTATTATGCTGAATCTTTTATTTTAAAGTCCCATTCGATCAATCAAAGAGTTATTAGTGTGGCGATGAATCGATATAAATCTACCGTTCAAGGAAAATTATTAGAGTATTTAATATTATTTTTTAAATTTGATTTTTGTTCTTAAGTAACTATTGTAAGTTTTTTACTATAAGACACTTAATTTCATTTATATATTACTCCATATTACATAAATTGTTTACATGTCATAGGTCTGTATTATATGTGCGCGTTATGTAAATATATATTATTTGTCATATACACTTTATTTATCACATATATTTATATATAATACTAATATACTTTTATTTTTATCTAAAACTCTATATTCTATTTATCAAATTCTATATTACTTTAAGATCTTATAAATAGTTTATAAACCCTATCTCATATGATATTAAATATGTTATTGTTAACTGTTCTTTAACTTTTCTTTAATTTCCCTAAAATTTTATTATTTAAAGTTTCTTTTGTCTGTCTTTGTTGTCCACAGCTTATACTATTTATCTTTTTACTAAATCTGTACCCTCTAAATTGTTACACATTTATCTTTACATACACAGTTTTTACTATCTATCTACTCTTCTATGAAATCTGTACCCTCTACATTGGTTGAGTCAAAAATAACGTTTCATACTTTAACATAAACTCACTAAAATGTATAAAATAGAAACCATATCAAGCTAATCTTATTTTATACCATCTGTAGATGTAACAATGGAAAGTTTTCCTTGTAAATTATGCAAAAGAAATATTGCTAAAAACCATAAATTCCTACAATGTGACAAGTGCTTGGAGTATTTGAAATACTAAGTATTTAAAATACTATTTTAAATACTTTCTTTGTATTTGTGTTTTGAATACTTTTGTTAAAAGTATTTAGTATTTGTACTTAAAATACTTTTGACTTGTATTTTGTATTTTGTACAAATAAAAATACAGCTTTAAACATTCACAACACTGCACACGAACAACTAAACTAACTGTTGTCATTGTGTCATTGTGTCACTGCACACGAACAACTAAACTAACTGTTGTCTTTTTGTCGACTGCTTCGTGGGTTTAATCCTAACGTAAGTATCATGTGTTGCAAAACTCTTAACAAATTTTAAATTCAAAGCTTTCTAGTATGCATGAAAAAATAAAAAACAAACTGAAAATAGTCTCATTTGTTTGCACTACTGCTGTTATCTGGTCAGTCAATAGAAAATGTTATCTTGGCATGACTGCGCATCATATTGAAATGCCACTAGATGATTCAGCATCTGTATCTGAATCTATTGGCAACTAATGATGTTAAGAAGGTATGTGAATCAGACAATACGTTTATGTGTACCTACAGTACAGGTTTGGCAAAATGCACTTCAATATGGAGTGCAACTCGACAAAGTAGTAAAGCATCAGATGCTGTGTCAAACATTATAGGTAAAGCAATACTCTGCCCCGTGGCAACAAGTTTGAATTCTCAGCACGATGCTATCAAGCGATTACTTGAATTACGTGACAAACTTAATGATATATGTAATGCTTTGAATGCGCCAAAGTTTAAAAAGCAAGAATTAGAATGCCTGCAAGAATATGTCTTGGTCATGAAACCTGTTGCAACAAAATTGGATACTTTGCAAAGGGATAATGTGTATTATGGCTATGTGTTTCCACATTTGCATAGCTTACAGGTGAAATTGGAAGGGCTTCAAAGTTGCCAGTTAAAATATGCTAAACTATTTGCTGCAGCATTGTTAGCAAGCATGAAAATTCATTTTAAAAAAGGAACGGAGATTTGATGTGAATAATTTATACAGGATTTTTGCAGCACCCACTGTTATAGTCACGTTGGATGCCAACAAATAAATGAGTTATCTGCAGAAAAATATTTGAAAATGTAATACTAGCAGCCTGTGAACCATTGACAGCGACCAATCTCAATGTGAACACTGACAGCACAATTAAAAATATTGTTGTATAAAATGATGACACTCCAAATGCTGGTGAAGCAAATGGCGCTTAGCAAGAATGCATGTTGTATCTGATTGACAAAGATATAAGTTTGAATGCTCTGAATAAGTATAAGAGTATTTGGTTACTGTCAAATTCAATACCACTGTACCATCGTCGGCTACAGTTGAACGACTATTTAGCACAGCGGGACAAATACAAACACCTAGGCGTAATTGTCTAAGTGATATAATGTTCGAACGACTGCTGCTGCTGCTAAAAACAAACGTGAATGACTGAATGAATGATATTTAAATATAAATGAAGTGACTAATAATTACTTTTGAGAAATTAGTGCGTAAAAATAAATTTTGAAAATGGCGTAAAATCAATCCTTAAAAATTAATCCTTAAAAGTTGATGTGCAGACAGTAGGTTATCTAAAAATTAGTTTCACTTTTGAGTAGATGTTCTTATTGTAGAACAACTTAGTAGGTTGAGAACTTGTAGGTCTGACTATCTGACACGTTTAATTTTGTTTTAGGTGCCCCTAGAAGTCCGGAATTATCACAAGGCACCGCGGAAGAGTATTTTAAAAAAAAAAAAAATTTTACGCATTCTTCCTTACCAATATTATAAAACTCTTGGTTCTGAACTAGAACTTTAACCACTGCGCCACGGTTGCGAAATTTATTCTTAACACTTTACGCAATATTGTGGAACTAAGAACATGTGTAACTTGCGAAATAAATTGTAAAAATATTTCAAGCTTCGGTAATTAATGTTACACTTCCAACCATAGATCGCCGTGAAATGTGTATATCTTGTATGTAATGTGTTATATCAAAATGTGTTTTATAGAACTTAAAAAAAAATAAATTATATTCCCTCTAAACTACACACACATACGCACACACACACACACACACACACACACACACACACACACACACACACACACACACACACATATATATATATATATATATAAAATGATATGTAAAATGAAACTATATATGTATATATATATATATATATATATATCCATACATATATGTATGTATGTATGTATGTATGTATGTACGTATGTATGTATGTATGTATGTATGTATGTATGTATGTATGTATGTATGTATGTATGTATGTATGTATGTATGTATGTATGTAAAAAAATAAATTAGTAAAAACACTTATCTAATTTTTAGTTGTCTTCAACAACATGTTTCTCCATCAGTATGTTCATCAGGAAGATTGTCTAAACGTCAAAAAGTTCAAATTACACTGGTCAACAAAAAAATACTTATTGAATGCACTATGAATTTAAATAGCTTTTTCTAAACCAGATTTTTGCGCTGATTTCAAATCTGCTTTCAGTTTTCTTTCAGCACGTCTAGTTCTTGAGATATTAGAAATTTTAATTTTCAGACATTATGTACTTTATCCCTATACATTAGGGTGTGTCATTAAAAAAAAAAATTGATTTCAAAAAAG